TTTCCCTACTTGCTCTATCCCATGCATGATCTTATAAACCTCGATCATGTCACCCCTCAGTCGTCGTTTCTCCAAGCTAAAGAGCTCTAAGTGCTTTAACCTTTCCTCATAGGGAAAGTGTTCCAACCCTTTTATCATTTGAGTTGCCCTTTTCTGCACTTTTTCCAAAGCTATAATATCCTTTTTAAGGTGTGGTGACCAGAACTGCACACCGTATTCCAAATGAGGTTGCACCATTGATTTATATAGGGGCATTATGATATTGGCTTTGTTTAAATCCTTTGTTTAAATTTGCAGCATTTCCATTATGGGCCCTGATGAGGTTACACTTTGGATTAATAAACATCTAGCTGCATATCCCTAGTGAGATGAGTATTAAATACTGGTTGTATACAGGCTTTGGAAAGTGAGCAGGATTTCTTACAAGAAAAGATCTCTACTATAAAAATGGTTTGAAAATTACTGTTACCTACATTCTTAGGAGAAATGCAGGTCTGCAGAATCCCATATTACACCAGTTCCCTAACCATTGCAATAACTTGTTCTATAGCCCGAGCGACACTGGAAATCCTCATTCCTGACTTTGTTAAGCAGACTTCTGAGGAAAAGCCCAAAGATAGTGAAGAACTAGAGGTATGACTTACAGCACGCTCATATTGCTTTTAGTGAGACTTGAATCCCAAGTAAAGGTATGTAGGGTTGCATTTTTGAATGGGTGTTGACTCATGTATTTTTTAAAATCCAATGTGAAAAGTTCACTTTTAAGGTTCTGGTTTTCTTACGCTTGTATGGTTTTTCTTCCATTGCCAAAGGTCTATATTTTCAAGTCTGTCAAACTGACGTAGAACTTAAGAAACTAAAATTAACTTACAACCACATAGCAGAGAAACAGCTTTCTGACGAGCAGTTTCTGTATACAGTATCTTGGTGTTAACACTTAAATCCAAAATATACTAACCCTTCCATAACTGGAGTTGGCAGAGGTTTTCCTTTGATTCTTTTTTACTTCTAAACACCTCAAAGCTAGAAAAGTCAGACCTTTCCAACCCATTGCTCTACAGCTTTTCCTGAAACTGCTTTTTTACCCAGAACCACCAAGAGGTATATAAATAGTTCTATATATAAACAAGTGGTGTTAGGTTTGCTTTTTCTTAAAGTGGGAGGGGGGTGAAGAGAACAAACTGATTGATTACCTGAAATCAGGACTTCCCAAGTCACCAAAGGTATCCAAAAAGCATCAGTTTCATGTGGATGGGTCAGTGGCACAATCCTTAGACTGTGTTGGGGCCAAGCAAGAGTGCTTTAGGATTTCGTACATTTAGGCTTTGTTTAAAGTAAAGTTGAAATACCTACCTTATTTTATATCAGTGTTTAAATGATTTATGATTTACCAATTTTGTTCTAGTATTTTAACCATATCAGTATTGAGGACTCACGGGTATATGAACTGACCAGTAAAGCTGGACTATTGTCTCCATATCAAATCCTTCATGAGTGCCTTAAAAGGTAAGGCAAGGAGCTGATGTGTCTTTATAGATCAAGGGGTGCTGCTCTTCCATCTGCCTTTAACCCAGCTGACATAGTTTCAGCCTCACACTTAAGAGAAGTGTACTTGTGTGCCATGCTCAGCATAATGGTTGGGAGTAGAATGTGCCTCAAAGTGAGCTCACCTGTACTACTGCTTACACTGTACTGTAGTACCAGTGCACTCCACACTAGAAGCAAAGTCTGAATAAAAGTGAACCTTCAATCAGTAGCCTCTTCTCCAATGTCATGGGAGCTAATTTCACTGAGTGTGGAAAGGTTCGGGGTTTCTTTGTGTATGGAGTGGTATGCTAGTATCTTTAAAAAAAAAAATGTTTACCTTTGGCACAATTGCCCCAAAAGTTCAACATTTCAAAGTCCTGTTAGTTTAAAAATCAGAAAGTTGTGCATTTTCCAATCTTGTTCCAGTGAAATCATTGGGACTTCATAGTGCTTAGTTTTGGCTTAGATCCCTACAATGTCAGCCTTTGATATATATTTTTTCTCTTTCCTAATATTAAGAAGCTTACATTTTCTGGCTAGCCTTGTTTGACACAAGAGGCGAGTTTTAGACTTTGCGGGTGTGATGGTGGGAGGCTGCTTAAAATGTTTGGTGAAGAAGGCAATTGTTTCATTGGCTATATCCCAGACTTGGTGTATTTGAGCAGACATAGTTCAGCTACTTTTTCTAAATTGCTTGGCTAAGACCCCACCTTTATTCAATCTGTTCTTAAGAAACCATGGAATGGGTGATACATCCATAAAGTTTGAAGTGATTCCTGGTAAGAATCAGAAGAGCGAATATGTCATGACTTGTGGGAAGCACACAGTGCGTGGCTGGTGTAAGTATGATGGCTGGTCTGAATGCCTCTTAAAAGTCGTTTTTGTTCTTTTAATACTCTTTGTTCCATGATACCTGATGGTAAAATTCTCATGACTGAGATCACCAGTACTTTAGATGGAGATCAGGACTTTAACTACAGTTGTTTTTCTCATGCTGAGAGACCATCTTCTTGGTAAGACTTTGATAGTGCTTGGAGATCCGGAGCAGGAAGATGAAATACTGAAATTGTCTGGATTACCAATAGTAGGTTTGCAGGCACTGTCTGCTCAGCCTGTAAGTTACTACTAAATATATATGTCCCCTCACTGGCAAATGGCTCAGTCGTATCC